CTGAAGGCCAGGAACAGCATCTGTACGTGGGTGATTTTCTCCTCCAGGAGTGCCACTCTCAGGTGAAGAGTGGAAGAGATGGCGTCCTCAGTGGATTAGTTCTGTCAGTAGGCAAACTGGAATGGGTAAAATGTTGGGGGGAGACTGGAAACGATGTGTTCTTTTACCAGCCTTTCGAAGCTCTTCATCTTGATGGGAGTCAGCCTGATAACATACCTTCCCAGGTATGTTATCAGGCCCTGTTGCCTTCCTAGGGTTGACTCTCCTCAGTCTTTCACACGTCCAGCATGTCAAAGTAGAGTACCTCTTCTCCCTGATGGGGAACAGCATTCACTGCTGGAGTGCTGTTTAGTGCCTCAAACCTTCCAAAGAAGTTGTTAAGTCAATTTAGCAAGTTAGCATCAGCTAGGTCCACCCAGAGAGAGGGTGCGTTGTAGTCTGTGATCGCCTGTATGCCTTGCCAAATCCTCCTGGTGTTGCTGGCATAGTGGAAGAGATGCTGGATCTTCCAGCTGTTGTTCTGCTTTACTGACCTGGTGTCATGGTTAAAGTTGGCTCTCGCTGTCCTCAGTACCTCTCTGTTACCAGACCTGAAGGCTGAGTTCCATGCTTTTAGCTATTTCTGGACCTCACCAGGGTCGTTGGTCTGCCTCGGTGATGTTCTTTGTGCTGCTGACTTCCACAATACATTTGTTGAAGTAGGCTGAAACAGTCATGGTAACTCATAAATATTGATCTTCTTATTATAAGTTTCTGCAGCTTTGAACATGCTCCAGTCAGAGTATTCAAACAGTCCTCAGTCAATATTTACAAACTTGATGTCTGCAGGGCAGAAGCTCGCGACCGATCTAGCTTTTTTACACCAGTTGTTGTTGATTTAGACACACAGCCCCGTTCTCTAGGATTATTTGGTATGGATACATTGACATGACTAATCTCCTTCTGTTAAGAGACTTGGAGTTGAGATGATCCATTTCGTTGTCCAGTGAGCGGATTTTGGAGAGCAGGATTGAAGGGAGTGTCGGTCTGTGGGGATTCCTTCTTAGCTTTGCTGTTAGCCCGCTTCTGCTGCCTCTCTTGCTTTTTCTCCGGCGTGGTCTGCTCCATGAATGTAACTATGTGCGTGTCTGTCCGAAGCACTCAGAAGCTTTTTAAGCAGTCAAAAGTGGCTTTGTTTACAAGTCCAGAAAAAAACCCTCAATGATCGTAGCTCCAGCAGGGGCTGGCGGTTGTAGACACAGGATTAATGCTTAGTTTGTAGAGTTCGAGGCGGCATATTTTATGGATTTGTGAAGAGCTGTCCTGAGCCGCTCGCTGCCTATAGCCGACGTCATCTTGAAACATTTTTTAGTTGTAAGGTTGTACTTTTTGATTAACTAATTAATAATTGAAGAGGAAAATGTTCTTTAATTTAGAAAAGGATACACTTGAAGAATTCTTTATAAAGTATGCTGATCTGTCTTGCTAATTGCCAATCATTTCCACATATGCACAACACAGTGTGAAATTGATTGTTAGCAGTTATCAGTGTTACTTCTTAATGGACACTTTGATAATCACAAAGTTTGATTCAATGTTCTGTTCACATGTATATGTATACATACATATA